CTGAGGATCCCCGGGCGCGGACCCGTTGGCTTTGGACGTCCAGGGCCGGACGCCGCTCCACACGGCCGCGGCGCTGGGCAAGGTCGACGTCGCGGACGCCGTCGTCTCCGCGGGCGGCGTCGCGATGCTCGAGATGGCCGACGGCGACAACTGGCTCCCCGAGGCGACGGCGGAGTTCTACAGCCACCACGACTTCGTGCGCTTCTGCCGTCTGCTGGAGGCCGAGGCGCAGAACAAGCTCATCGAGGAGCTCCCGAACCGCGCGTGGGCGGGCGACGTCTGGGACGCGGGCATGCGGTCCTTCGCGCGGCGCAAGGGGACCGATTTGGCCAACGGCGGCAAGCGGAGCCTGATCGTCGAGGAGCTCCTGAGGATCCGCGGCATGCGGACCACGGGCATGATGGAGAAGCACGGCGCGGAGACGCGCCGCATCTGGGCCGACGCCGAGCGGAAACGCGACGAGGACCTGCTCTCCCTCGAGGGCTCCGTCGACGGCAGCTTCGTCTCCGCCGGCTCGCGGAACATCGTCGCGTCCATCGGCACCGAGGGCACGATGCCGCTCTCGGGCCAGGCCGTCGTCTTCGACGAGTACCTCGCGAACCTCAAGAACGACGAGTCGGACCCCGTCGCCATGCGCCGGCGCAACGGCGTCTACTCGCGCGACTTCGACCCGCTCCACAAGAGCATCACCAAGGAGCTCGAGCAGCACCAGCTCATCCCCGTGACGGACCCGCGCCAGGGCCGGCCGCCGCTCTCGCTGCGCCGCACGCCGCGCCAGTGCCACACGATCTTGTTCGGCGGCGAGAGATAACACGAGGCGGTGCCTCCGGCGCGTAGACCGGCGCGGGGGCGGGGAGCCGCTGGCGTCCTCGCCGGGATCTCGCGCGCGGTGCTTGGCGCGCTCGCGCCTCGCCGGGATTCTTCGGATGCGATGAGGTAGCCCATCACGCTCGTCGACAGCTCGAGGTAGTCCATGCGATGAGGTAGCCCATCATGGGGAACCCGACGGTGACCGCGAAGGTCGTCGCGAAGAAGGGCTGCAAGATCCGGAGCGAGCGCAGCCTGAAGTCGACGTGCGTGGCCCTGCTCGCGCCCGGCACTCTCTTGTCGATCGAGGGCTGCCTCGACGACGCTCGCGTGGCGACCATATCCCCGGTCGCTGGCTTCGCGAGCATCAAGACGCTGCGAATCGTCGACGACGCGTCGCCGGAGGATCTGATTCGCAGCGCGTGGCGCCACTTCCACCCGCTCCGTTCCGACGACGAGCTGGCGAAGACGCTCGACGCGGAGGCCGTGCGTTGTCTGCGCGCGCACGGCACGGAGCCCGCGGGCACGGGCGAGTACAACGCCTTCGAACCGCCGGGCGGGCGCGGCCGGTTCGACTGCCGCGCGTGCCGTTTTCCGCTGTATCACGCGTCGCGCAAGTTCGCGGACCAGGGGTGGATCGCGTTCGACCAGTGCTTCTTCACGGGCGACGTCGCGCACGTCGGGCTCGCCGCCGGCAACATGGACTCCATCGAGGTGCACTGCTCGAACTGTCGATCGCACCTCGGCCACGTCTTCACGGACGGCGTCAGCGGCGAGCGGCACTGACTCAACTCGTGCTGCGTCGCGTACGTGGACGCGCCGCCGTCGCACGACTACGGCCAGCCGCTGCGCCAAGGCAGCAAGGTCGCGGCCATCTCCGACCTCCTCAAGACCATGTCCTCCTGAGAGGTGCTTCGCACGTCGAATGACGACGGGACCGCGCGATCCGCGGGTTCCGTCCGAAAAGAACAGCGCAGAATTAGAAACGGCCCTAGAGCCCCAGGAACATGTCCGCCGCCTCCGGTTCGCCGAGGCAGACGTCGCAGGTCGTCCGGTACTGGGCGTCGAGCGCGCCGATGTCGCAGGGGTACTGGGGCTTGCCGACGTCGCGGTTGACGACGTTGTGGAGCTCGCACCACCAGCGCACGACGCCCGCGCGGTCCTCCGGGATGGGGCCGACCTCGTCGAGCTCGCCGCCGAGGAGCGCGTTCCGGCACGTCTCGCAGGGGTAGAGCCGCAGGCTCGCGACGAGGCCCTGCATCGCCGCGACGTCGATGGCCGTCGCGTTCTCCGGGTACTTCGCCGCCACCGAATGGTAGTGGAACCAGCTCTGGCGGCCCACGTCCTCGCGCCAGCCGAGATCCTCGGCCGGCGCGGCGGCGGCGGCGGCGCCCGGCTGCGCGGACCGCGCGCGGTGCGACCGCGTGTCCAGCGTCCCGACGACGAGCGGCCCGTAGCCCTTCTCCGCGACGGCGCCCGCGTGGTGCGGCGGGCCCGCGGCCGCGAACGCGTTCGATGCGTCCTGGCCGCACCAGCGCGTGACCACGCTCTCGCCGCCGGGGTGCCACTCGAAGAACGTGCGGCCGCCCTTCTGCTCCGACCGCGTCGTGTGGTCCGAGAAGTTGTAGATCTCGTTGTAGATGACGACGAGGCAATCCTCGTGCTCCGAAATCTCGCTCCACGTCCACTTCCGCGGTTCAACATCGCTCCCGTGCACTGCCGCAGCGATGCAGGCGAGCGTCACGACGCGCGACGGAGCCATTCTCTGCAGCCAAATTTGCGGTCCAGCGCTTCTATCGAGCTCCGGCTTCGACGCGCGCCCGTCAATTTTAGGCAGTTGAAGGTAACAT